TGAGTAAGCAGAACTTAGTACAGGAAGTTTCCTAGTTAGAGACCAGGCAACTGGTGCTATTAAAAAAAGTCGGGTCGGTCGCAGCGTCAATTTAAAGCGACTAGAAATCCTACGAACGAACGTCAAACTTCTAATAAAAATTATTATGGAAATCGCTTAAATAATTCAAATAGAATAGGTTCCGAAAATCGATTAAGCAAGGCATCCACGAGGAAGACACCTTAAAATGCATTAAAATATTTAAGACAATGATCTTATATATTCGAGAATATTAAATATGAGACGTCTAAATTACACAATGGGTGATCAAATTTTGCATTTCAGATTTCTGAACTAGGGCTTTACCATGAACTCTTATTACGATTCAGTTTAGGACCTAAAATTAATACATAATAATGCACACACACACACTCAACATAGCCCCGCACTAGGGAAACCCTGTGTCGCGGGTACCATGGACACAATCGTTGTGAGACAGCGCTACTTGAATTGTATATCACCATCCCGCTTTTTGGTCATTACGAACCTATACTGAACTGTAATAAGTGTTCATGGTAAGGCCCCTGAATGGGAACATAGAATTTCAAATTATAATTAACGACATCACGTTCCAGACGTTCTGAGTTTGAAATTGCTGTCTTTTCAAACGAGATCTTTGTTCTCGATTTGCTACGCCGGATGTGGAGTACAAAAGCGGACAGTTTATCCGGAAAGTTCAGAAACAAACAGCGTCAGAAACTTTCAGGCGAAAAGCCTGCATTTTAAAATAATCGACGAAAAATACCAAATTTTTTTATGAACACCTTCTGTTAATTTTAATGCAGTGATTCTTTATTACGACTACAAATTCCCTGATCTATTTAATCAAATTTTTATTAAATCAGCAATTAAATATTCATGAAAAGCAATAAAAAAATTAGGATTTTTTTGTTCTTCATAGCCTGTCAAAATTGTGACATTCTTGTCAAAATTTTATCATTCTTTAAATGATAAAGGACAATACACATTTTGGATTCCCAAATTTAGCTTTTAATAAATGAATGAATGAAATATTCTTCATTCTTAATAGTAGCTTATGTATAAAGTTAGTATGCAATTGGCGGCCTTATTGCTATGTAGCAGTTTCTTCAAGGCAACCTTAGGATAGAAATTTGGGATATCGACTGTGAACTGGCAATCGGTACTATCTCAGTTTTGACAACTTACCAGGTTGAAGAAAAAAATTGTTTGCGTCATTTATATAGCACCTAGATTATTAAATAAATACACATGTATGTATGTACACTACGCATTTTTATTTGATAAACCTGATGCCGTATAAATGATTATTTCTTCGTCCTGTAAAGTTGTCAAAATTGATATAGTACCGGTTGCCAGTCCACAGTCGATATGCTTGGTTTCGTGTTTAATTTTCACTAAGTTGCGACAATAATATTATATGTTATCAATGTCAAACAACATTAGTTTAAGTTGGGAAAAATTACGAACGAAAACTATAATGGTTATCCTATTAATTAATAATAATTGTTAGCCTTTATTGTTAGTAGCAGGAGAGCTCCTTGTGAAAGAGTTCGTCCAGAGAAGTACCGCCACCTTACCTATTTCTGCCGCCAAGCAGTAATGTTAACATTACTGCGTTCCGGTTTTGAAGGGTAAGGGTGCTGGTGAAATTACAGGCACATGGGACTTGTCAGCTTATGTCTCCGGGCGACAGCCGCAGTGGCAGTGTCCCTCAGATCTTTGCGATTTAAATTCGGAGTGGTACTGCAACTGTTATGGACAGGCGAGTAGCTTACCATCAGCGTGTAGCGCACGACTTTGTCGTCCCGTCTGTTGCTATTATAAAAAAAATATAGTCCAACATGCCTACTCTTGCTATGAGAGTACTTGAGCTGTGTTCCACGCCGGCCTAATGTAAATAAGAGGTGCAAGCTTAGATTCGAACCCTCGATTCTCTGCCTCACAGACGGTCAGACCACTAGGCCGGTACGGTTGTTTATTTTATTATTTAGTTTATTAATATTACAAAGCCATAAATTTAAAGGGTAACAACTAAGAAACTCAAAAAGATTAAACGATTGAGTGAATGACTTACATCTAAGTATGGAGTATATAACCAGAAATAGAGACGAAATAAGGGTCGTCCATCTCTGGCAACTCCTCAGGCAAATGGGCCTTATTTCATTTCTAAATATCAACTCTCGTTTGCACTAAAATCACAAATTAGAAAGCAGAAATAGTACAGCACCAACAACTGACCTGTATGTACGTCTTTGTATATTCCAAAAATATTCCGTATATATTATAATAAAGATAATATCTCTAACTACGGGGGGCTGTTCCAATCGTTGGTATGGGAAAAACAGCAAAACATCTAATTACAAAACAAACGGAATCACATTTCATCGGTAATTAATATTAAATATGTAATTTTTCAATTTTCATCTACCATAGCAAAGCTCAAATTAAGCTGGTTGATTTGAAGTGAAACAATTGACGACACCCGTCAAACGGAGCACAGTTGCCATCGTAATGATTTGGCAGAACAGTTTTCACTATATTCTCGTTATATACTAGATGGATCTTAGTGACAATTTTAGCTTTAACTACGATTACCGATGAGTGTTCCTTAACGTGAACTTGGCTCTCAACTTCATAGTTTTTTTTAAATATTTTTTATTGTTTGCTATGATTAAAGAAATCATAGCAAGTGTAGACGAGTCTTAAAATGAAATGTCAAAAACTTAGTTGCGCTACGTTCAAATATATATGTTGATTTTTTTTTTCTGTAATTAAAAAAAATCAAATATAAAAAAAAATTAATTTAATTTTTTTACATCGTTCTTATATCATTCGTCTGTCGTAGTAAATATCTAACTTCTCGTACCATTGATGTGTACCTATTACAGAATAATACTCAACGCTACGGAGTAACACGAGTACTTCGATTTTTGACATAACCTGTCAACATATATCAATTTTCCCTAATAATAAAATATAAACCCAGTGTAATTAAAAAGTATATGGGAGATTCAAAATGGCCACCTGACATAACGGTAGCAATTTCCCCCGAAAAAATGTCAGAAAATTAAATTATTGGAAAAAAAAGAATATACGAGGTGGATGTATGGCTAAAGTTTCGCGAAGGCAGCATACATTTAGTAGAAAGTATATGGAAATACGAATGAAGCCCTGTAACAGTGACGAAAGGCCGTCAACTTTCATTTAGCTCCACGAAAACGGAAAATTTCAAAACGCCATAATGAAAAAATCAGACTTGTGATCCATGGTAAAAAGTTAACTCGCAGTTTAGCTATTCCTTTATTTTTCTCCATCCTCTAAGCAGTTTAGAGAATATTATTTTATTTCTTACCCTAGATTCTCGAGCCTTCAAATAATATTGTATAAAAAAAAGTATTCCAGGTCTTGCGGTTTTGAACCTTTTTTACTGGATTTTTCGTTTTTACGTTTTAATGAAATCGGTTTTATAATGAGTTTTTATAATTGAGTACTACCTGAGTTTCACAAATTAAAAAATTAAAAATTAAGAGTTCAAAGAAATGAGTTTAAAAAGTTGTTAAAATATTAAATGCTCGCTGTCAAAACGACGTTTTGGCAGGAAAGTACCAATTTGGGCAAATTACTCGAGATGAGGGTCGACATTCGTGGTTTTGTCGAGCGTATGATTACAACATTTAAAGGAGCATGTCAACCGGAAATCATAAGAGGAAGGAACACAAACGAGTTTTTTTAAGGAAAAAGATCTTAAACATTTTAATAAAAAAACATCACATACCAAATCTGGAAACAAAAAAAAACATAGAGGTATGCATACTTCTCGATCTCGAAAAGTTTTAAAACTATGAGCATTGGACCAGGGCCAGGGCCCTTAGTCGAGTAATTTTAAATCCTCACAGTTGTGTGTAGATGCAGTGTCAATGACAGGATTTTGTACGTTTACTACTTGCCAGTGGCTAGCCATCAAACTACTACTGTCCACTTAGATCTCAGGGTGACCCTTAAATCTTTGCGATTTAAAGTTTTTAATGGCACTGCAATTGTTACGGACAGGCGTGTAGCTAACCAGTAGGCGCACAACTTGTCTGTCCCGTCACTTGATATTATAGAAAAAAAAAACTATTCAACTGCCATTGCAATTTTTCGTACTCTGCTCTTCAATGGCGAGTCGATAGAACGTCGTTGTTGTCTACTAATGCTGTATATATTTTATTTGAATACTAAATAGGTGATTAAAACTAAAATATGCATATTAATTTCCATGGTACGGTTAGTAAAGCATCATCGATTATTAGTGATTGAACGAATCAATACCATCACTGCCATTTGTCACACTCTATTTTTTTTAATAAATACATTGAGACTCAACTGCCATTGCAACTAGGTTTTCGCAGAATAACAACTATTACCATTCTAACTAGCGGACGTCGGTTCAAATCCGGCAGGATCGAAGGATTTTTTCTAAGTATTCGCTCTTTGTATTAATAATTATAACAAACTAGTGTAATAATTTCACAAAAAAATAATGGAATATCAATACAATACATATTTAATTACAATTAATAGCGACATCTCTAGCCAGGGCTGGTAGCTGTAAAGTTACCTAACTGGGTGACGAAATACTTTCATAGATTTCTCATTGATGGCGCTACGGCTAAAAAGTCGTGGAAAACCAGATACAAAGATCCGACAAACAAGCACATGGAAAAATTCGTGAGGTTCGCTGGTTCATTTCATGGCTTAGTTGGCATAGCGTCTGGCACAGAAGGCGTCGGTTCGAATCCGGCCGGATCGAAGACATTTTTTCTAACTGTTCGATATTTGTATTAATAATTAAATATTACCATAGTTGCAATAATCTCTAGATTCTAAATGGAATCACAATCACCAGTGGTTTGCTTTACTAAAGGAGGTCTATGCCCAATAGTACCTAGTACACGCATGAGCTGTTAACTAAAAGCAAATATTTTGTTTTGTTACAGTCTGTGTCAGATTCGATGATGGAGGAGCTGAAAGCATGTTTCATGGAAGCCTACGACGATAATCAGGACGGGAAAATAGACATAAGAGAGGTAAATGCATTATGTATTCGAGTATTATAAAGTGGTGAGAGTACTTTTGCACGTACTCGGAAGCCAAAGTCAACCTAAAGTTTGCCAATCTTTGATTATCCGTCTCTGTTGTTACTACTAGGTATATCATTTTTCACATTATATCGCTGTGTTATTTCTTTCCAACTTGCAATTATTATATCTCTTCGAGTCACGCCATGAATCCTATGTTTACATTTCTCACTCTAGTAGCCAGTCATAATTTCCTGACCTTAAAAAAACCTTCTTCGGCAATCAGAGCGCCTCCAAATTAGATTAACGCCACTATAATGCTTGTAGAAGCGCTATAGTGGCGCTGTAGCTGCTCCACTACTAATTTTCATACTTTAGCCCCTTTAGCGCGGGAAATCCTGCACACGCAGCCGTGCCCGATTATGTTTCATTATTTTTTTAAGCTAACGTTCTTTCGCGCGCGATAGCTCGTGTACGTTTTTGTTATATCGGAAAGAGCGTCCGTGTAAAGGCTAATAACAAAGGATAGACTTTCTAAGTCTTTCTCTTTTCCTTCCAACGTCTTTACACGCACGCTCAATGTAAAGCCCGCTAATATTTCGAAGCGCAGCCTCAGCGCCACGGTCGCGTCACGCGCACGCCGCTTTTGCAGACTAGATATTGTATGAAAATTAGTAAAGTTCATTTCATATACCAGGGTAGGTACATTGACGTTCGATATTTAAAGTTTCTAGCGATGTAGTGACGTAAAATCGAATAAAGAAAATATCGATTTAAATATCTTATCGAGATAACTTGTAAGGAAAACAGGGACAATAATTTAAGAACAAATCAAAAACGTAATGAAAAGGCATCAGAAAAGAAAATCAAATATATATATACTAAAAAGTACACGACAAATTAACAAATCAACAACACACGAGCAAACAGGCGACAACTAATCATAAAATCAACAGCACCGAAATGAAATTTGAACATTACTCCAAAAACATCACGCAAAGCTCAAAACAAAAGAAAGCATACAAGGTGTATGCACTCATATTGACGCGAGATACCTGATAGCCGATTCGATTTATCGATTCTGTGGTGTAAATCTCTATGGATAAATATTCCGTTTTACGAATCAATTAATTGGGGTGATTTACATTTATCTTTATCATTTCATTTTCTATCTCCTTGACATATTGTAATTTTTACTTAAAATTACACTGCAACAAATATTGTTTGTTGTTGGTACATTGAAACAAATTATTATTTCTTTCGTACTTGATTCGGGCGGATCAAAGTAAAAAAACTAACTTTAACTCTCTATTATCTCTGAGTGTTTGCGGTACCGTCGTTGTTTCCTATTTCCTTAACAAAAGTGCTATATGTTACTTACTTTGGTATCAGAGCAACGTATATGATGTTATCTGATATTTATTATATATTGGCACATGTTTGGACAAAACATTGTAACAGTTTATTACATCGAAACATACACGCTCATTCTTGTATCTAAAACACAGTACAACTTTGTTAATACCACGAATTCACAAGTAACAATTTCCAAGTCGGCGTTGTGAACTTTGGCCTTAACTATACTACTAGATGCCTGCGCCCAACATTGGGAAATATTTATGTAGTCGTGAACATTACTTTCTGAACACGTGGCGTAAATCTCATGTTAGAAATATTTTATTTCGTAGCTGGCTCAGCTGCTACCGATGGAGGAGAATTTCCTGCTGCTGTTCCGATTCGACAATCCTCTGGAGTCCAGCGTGGAATTCATGAAAGTAAGTAACATGGATATTAGCTTAAGTTATATATTTTTTTAGAAGATATAGGTCTTAAAAAAATTGTATGTATTTACTTCAAACTGACGTATCCATTCAATGACAAACTAGCACCCCAATTAGGAAAACAAACATATTTGATCACTTCTATAGTACAATGACATGGGTTAGGCGATGAAGGTCAGGTAGTCGCAGACAACCTGGTAGTCGTAGAAACTACAACTATAGTATGAATCATAATTAGATATCCAAAATGTAAACAAATAAATGTCATTGTCAAAGTGTGAATGCAGATACGTACGCAAATACGTCAAAAATAATAGGTTTATCACATATGTGATAAACCAATTATTTTTGACGTATTTGGAAAAATATCATTTTCATTTCATTCAATCGTTCGCAATCATTTTTTACAATTGCAATTGTCTATTACAAATTATTAACAATAAAAAACGACGACGATAATTTAACAAACTCACTACGGAGACAAGAAAATATTCGAGTTCGAGAAACGAAACTTTATTGACATCTATGACACGACAAAATGGCGGCAAAAAAATGTTTTTGATCCCGATTGTTACATGTCACATTACTGCTTGGTAGCAGAAATAGATATGGTGGCTGTACTTCCCTGAACAAACTCTTTCACAAGAAGCTCTTCTGCTCTACTTTAGAGCTAAATCGCTCTTATAGACTTATTTCATCGTTCTAATGTAGAGCGATGAAATCATCGCTAAATCTACTACATTGTTCGGTTTTATGTCAATGTCAATAAAATTTCACAGTTTGCAGAAAGAACCTTAGTTTTAATTAATTTTTTATTTGGTAAGTACAATTTCAAATGAGTGCTACTGAATACACTGTGCAGCGTCTCGAACCCGATCGAAGGAATTTTTCTTTATGTTGTTAAATTTTTGTATCAATAATAATTCCTTATGTTGATAATTTTTAGTAACGAGAGTAAAATGAATATGAATGTTGATTTAAAGAATTTTTTATTTTTTTTATGACACCTGGAAAATATACGTCACTCCGATTTCGCCGTCACCGCCAACGGCGATCGACGCACATCTCTAATAGGTAGAGAACAATAAAACACAAAATATAGACTTTTATAAGTTTCTCACAGGCAAAAAAAGCCGTTTAAACCCTGTACAAATATCTGCAACAAGCACTTAGAAATTCGCAAGAGCTCAGTTGGTAAGAGCGGTGCGGCAATACACGCTGTTTCGAGTCCATTGAGATGTAAGGAATTTTTGTTTGTGTTACTCCATCTTTGTATCAATAATAATAACAAACTAATGGAGTATTTTCACAAAAGAAATAGTTATATTAAGCTGATTTTAAAAGTGATCCTCCACAAAACCATTTTGGGAATGCCAGCATTGAACAATGAATTCTCTCTCATGAAAATCGTTAGCGTCCTCGGCCTTTTGTGACAAACAAATTTAAAGGCTGTGAAAACATTCGATCACGTTCGTGCGCCGTAAATTTAGATAAATCAATACTACGTGAGCATATCCCATGAATATTTAAGAGTAATTTTTTAGGTCGCCATTTTTTATTACTTTGGTGGCATAATTTTTTCTCATTATCAATCAAATTATTTATGAGACACCATATTGCAACCAATTATCCTGGTAAAAAGATTACTTTCAAAAAAATTACATAACTTAATTAGTGATGTAATTTTTTTACGAACGTGATGATTTTTAATTGATAGTTTTTCGTAGCAGTAGAGCTTCGGGGACCCAATTTTAAACATTTAATTTAATCCTAGTTTCAATTTCTAGTATTTAAGCATTTATTGCCCTTTACCTTTATACTTTAACTTATTGTCTTATAAATAATAAATACGTTACGTGTCGCGGTTACTGTTTACATAACATATTAAAAACATTACAATTTTGTTTGTTGCCTTAAAAATGCAAATCATTAATGAGCAGGGATCGGAGTAGGTATAGTTTTTTTACCTAAACTTCGAGGAACATAGACAGAAAATGGAGACTGCCTTACGACAATATTTTTTAGGTCGTGGACTTGTTCGGGGTTCGAGAAATCACTTAAGTACACTAAAAATTTGCGTAATTTGGGACAGGCAGGTACACTATATTTATCTTAACTTTGCGACACAGTGGGTCGGATCAGCGATATTGCGGAGATTGGATTTTTTCGCGATACCTCTCTAAAAAAAATTCCAATCGAGATATCCTGTTGTCCTAATTAAATATTGTCGTATCACATTTTGCCATAAATCTAATAGTTTAGTAGGAAAAAAATAAAATGTGTCTTTTTTGTATGGGACCATACCTTTAGTGCCCCATCGTTACCAAGTTTTAGTCGATTCAGTTTTGGAATCACTACAGACGTATTATTAGACCTATCTTCTATAGTGTACACTAAACGCGCGCTTATACTTTTTTTTTTTACCTGCCTATTCCCTACTTATACGTGTCAGGAAATGCTGCTCGAAGCAGATACGTAGAAAAATAAACCATCATTTAATTTTTTTTATTTTCAAAGTGACGGACTTACCAAACAACAAATATATTGTAGTTAGTAATCGAAGTCGTTTTTCGTCTTCAGTCATTTTTCATTTCGTGTTCCAGTTTTCAGACGCTTATGTCGTGACATATCTTGATGAGATTTATCACTTCTATCGTACGTTTCTATGATGCTAAAATATAAATTATGATCAAACGGCTATTCATTAAAGTCCATTAGGATCATTACAATTATAATGTGTGTAATTTTAATTCTGTTTTATTAATAAGTATTGTTACTTTAAATTGTTATTGAATTGATATTCAATTTTTTTTTTAAATTACTCCACTAGTTTGTTATAATTATTAATACAAAGATCGAACACTCAGAAAAAAATCCTTCGATCCGGTCGGATTCGAATCAACGTCTTCTAGCATACCGTGCCAGACGCTATACCAACTAAGCCACAGAACGAACAAGCGGACCTCACGAATTTTTCTATGTGCTTGTTGTCGTGTCTTTGTATAACGACTTTTTAGTCGTAGAGAAATCTATGAAAGTTTTATCAGTTGGTATAGCGTCTGACACGGTATGCTAGAAGACGTCGTTTCGAATCCGTCTGTCCGAATGTTTAGTGCCCCAAAATGGACGCTGGGGAGAGTTGATGCAGTGCAGGGAGTGCTACCGCATTTGAAATAAAAACCTGTATTATCTATATAAACTGCACTACATACATACATCTTCTTTTTCCTTGTAAATGAGCCTCCTTGTGTCCCTTGGTTAGACCATGTCAAGTTAAGCAGAGGTCAAATTGTCAACGTGCAAAGGTTTCGATCCGGACACATTCAATTAAACAAATGTTTTGTATTTGACGCGAAGGGTGAACTCATTGAATTGCGAAGTATGTGGGATTCCTAAGGACATCACTTGCTCATGGAGTGTGTTCGGACGGAACTTATCAGGGCGCGGTTATTTGCACGGACTGGTTTCCGTACATTTAATATTGGGTGGTTTCAATCTATTTTATCAGAGCCAACATCTAGTGCAGTGGATTGTATACATGTTTGGTTAGGTAGTACTTATTTAGATTTTTTTTTTTTTTTTTATAATAATTTTTTTTTATCTGTCTCGATTTTATTTAGGCATTACTTCTTGAGGCATTATTTTTCTAATGGGGCTGACAAGTTCAATAACGATCAAAGCCCCTAAATAAATAAATATATAGTATAAAAAAACTTTTTGTGTTAATATAAAAAATTTGTGTTTTCAGTTGTTTTTTGAGATGGTGGGCCAAAAATTTGGAAACCTATGGTCTATACTAACTGTTAATATTATTATTATTACTACAAACAAACTGTACACCTTGCTGTGTAGTCTGAAAATAAAAGATTTTTTTCCGCCTGGAAAAAGTTTGTGCCTCGTAAAGCCTTCAATCGGATTGATTTCATAAGTGACATTAAAAAATTGTATCTTATCGGTATTAAAACTGATCATATAATGGTTTGCACAGATCTGGCGTGAATACGACACAGATGGAAGCGGGTACATCGAGGCTGACGAATTGAAGGTAAGTCACATGCCTCATTACAAACTATTTAACAATTTATGAGAGTGAAAGAAAAATAATAATAATTATAATAATTCAAAAATAATAGAAGAAATGTTAAATAAATTCTTAACATAACAAATAATATTTATTAAGATTTTTTGTTGTGAGAAGGTTATTCGAAACCTCTCACTAGATGTTACTAGCGGCGACGAAAGCCGAAAAATCAGTATAAAGATCTATAGGCTCAATTCACACTGTCGCGTCCTGTTTTTCAACTAAAAAAAACGCCGCCGAGATCACAGTGTGGTCGACGTATGACGCCTCACGACGCCCAAGTGACTGAAGATTCCATATTTGCAAAACAGAAATTTATACCTTAATACTGGAAAAATAGAGATGAATATGCTATAGGCGAAAAACATGACGCGTCGCGACGCTTCGACTCTGCGCCAGTGTGAGTTGAGCCATAACAAAAAGACATGAGAGAATTTCGTCGACTCGGTAACTGGACCTGTGAATCAGATGGTTAGAGCGACGCTACGGTGCAGTATGGACGTGGGTTCAAGCGCCACCGGGTCGACGAAAAAAAAAATTTTCTATGTGTTTGATCTATGTATTCGTAATCATAGCGAATAATAATTAACAAAACGGGCCACGTGTACGCTGTGCCGTTACAGAATCCGTCATCTACTCAGCCTATTGTCCTCTCACTGAAGGTGTCACGATACTGTTTTTCAGTGGATCTGGTAAAAGAAGAATACGCATGGCACGGAACAAAGCAGATATATAACTAGATTACGCTGTCACAAGCACTATTTCAACAGATAACAATTTTATTTAAAAAATGTGTACAAATACCTTATTTAATAAATTTTTACGTAAGTAGGTTACATAATAAATCTAATTTAAATATTAGAAAATTTAATTATAATTAAATAAACAATTCAATGAATTAATACGTAACAAAATGTAAATATATATATCGACACATCACAAGCTACATTGGTTTACATGTACATTTGGTTTAGCCCTTCACATCATCGGTTACAAGAAACCACACATAAAGCCACATAAGATCATATGTCATAAATGCTTTCATCATCTTAGAATAATAACGCATAGAATGATAGTTTCATATCAATTTCATATCAAACGAACTGCCACAAGTGAGGCAAAAATCAAATTCATGTAAGCTAGTTTTAGTAGTAGGTTAATTTTCGGTTTTAGTGAATATTTATATAAAAATACAAGTTGAAACGCGTTACTTCCTTGTGGAATGTGATGTTAGTATCTATTTTACGTTTGGCTGACGTATTTTTACACTCATTTACCGCACATTTCGTCATTTTTAGCTAAAATTCTTGAGCTGTTCGCGGTGCAAGTTAACCTTGAGCACTGACGGCCCGCCCGCTCATGTAGGCCCATTGGGAGCGCTTCATTTTGCCTCACTTAGTGTGTGCGGACTAGGTTTCTATGCGTTATTATTCTAAGTTCATCATGTCATAAAAATATTACCAAGAAACAAATGTATATGAGGAATTTTATAGCTTTTCCATTGACTTACAAATAAATGGACGACGGGTCTAATACAAAAACTACTATTCGAAATTTAAATTATAATGTCATCGCACTATCGCGCTGTCAGTAGAACAAATGAAGAATATATAAATAATATAATAAGAATAGATAAAGCGGGGTTTGGCGCTCTGTATACGATTTTAGCGCCTTACAAGTGCGGACACTTTTTAGCGCGGACCCGACGTCCATATAATTGTAAGTCAATGAGCTTTTCTATTGAAACGTATAAAAAGTTTTCATAGATTTCCCACAGATTACGCCAAAAAAGTCTTTAAAAGCCAAAAACAAATATTTGCAACAAGCACATAAACATTCGCAAGGTCCACTGGCAACTACCTAACTGAAATTACCGCCTAATAGACGAAACCAAGAGGACGAAACATCGAGTATTTATACTGGTATATATGCTTTCTGGTTATAACCAGAAATAGACACGAAATAAGGGCCGTATGGCCGTATTCCTGGTAACTCATCAGTGCTACATCACTTATAAATATCATCTCTCGTTTGCACTGAAATTACAAATTAGACAGCTGAAATAGTACAGCGCCAACAACTGACCTGTGTGTACGTCTCCGTATATTCCAAAAATATTCTGTATTTATTGTAATAAAGAAAATATTTGTAACAACGGCATGCTGTTCTATTCAGTGTTGTGAAGAAAAACCGCAAAACATCTAATTACAAAACAAACGGTATCAAATTTCATCGGTAATTAAATATTAAATATGTGATTTTGCAATTTTCGTCCATTATAGCAAAGCTCAAGTTAACTGGTCGATTTGAAGTGAAACACCCATTGACGACACCCCTCAATTGTTTCGAATTCGGGCTGGCCAATCGGAGCGCGGTTGTCACAGTAATAATTTGGCAGAATAGTTCAATTCTAAATCAGTTATTCAATAAATCGAATAAGTAACACTTTCACGTATATTTCAAAGATTTTGACTTGATGTCTCATCACTTTTTCTAACATTATTCATTTGAATAACATCGTAAAATCGTATTTAAAAAATGGTAATTAAAAAGTGAGGTTACATTTTAATTTTAGATGTATGAATAGTCTATGGTTACAGTGCTGCACGGAAAAAACATTCGGTTCATTCAATTAAAGTTTTTGTAATCAATTACGAGTAAATCGAAAAATTCAATCGCAATCGAACAAGTATCTAAGTGTAAAGATTGGAAGGAGGATTTAAAATTAAGATTCCGAAAATTTTAAATGTGTTTTATAAAACACATTTAAAATTTGTAGGTTATGTAAGAAAAACTGTTGTATGACAATTAAGACAAATCGGTTGTGCAACAGTAATCCAGAGTTGTTTCGTATACTTGATAAGTATTTAAAAAGAAAAAGAAAGAAAGAAAGTACATTTGTGTGTGCGTTATTGTTCTTGTCGTTATTTACTTTCTTACCACAATGACACCACAAACGAAAAAAGAAAACGAAACAAAACATAAGAATGAAAAACATAATTAAAATATTCAACGTAAAGCATAAATAAATAATTACGAAACAAAAACCCAAACAACATAATAATGTTTACAAAAATTAAATTAAATTAAAACACGAACTATTCACACAAACTGTAAAAAGAACACTAAATATAGAGATACTTTGTGTGATGCCAGCCGCAGTAACAAAAGTCACAAACTAAGTAATTGCTGTAAAACGCAATGCGTTCCCAGCACTGTTTTCAGTGCTTATTACCCATTGTCGTCCTGAGTAGATTTGTGTTGCTTATTGTGTTTGTATGGTGTAACGGGTGTAACTATATACTTATTACATTATCACTCGTAACCAGTAAATTAATAGATTTAAGTTAGATTAACGATGATTGTTACAATTATGTTCCAACAATGTCCGGCAGAGAACATAGGCGGAGATTGAAAAACAGCACTATGCTGAGACTTAATCCTTTTCATCAACATATTAGAAATAGAAATCAGAGTTATATATTATATTACATTATTTTCGATAGACGTACGTAATTTAGTAGCAATAGAGCTTCTTGTGAAAGAGTTCGTCCAGGGTAGTACTGCCACCTTACCTATTTCTGCCGCCAAGCAGTAATGTCAGCATTACTGTGTTCCGGTTTTGAAGGGTAAAGGTGCTGGTGAAATTACAGGCGCATCGAACTTGTCAACTTATGTCTCTGGACGACGGGCGCACTAGCAGTGCCCATCAGATCTTTGCGATTTAAAGCTCTGCGTGGCACTGCAACTGTTATGTACAGGCGTGTAGCTTACCATCAGGCGCACAACATGTTCGTCTCGTCACTAGATATTAAAAAATATAAAAAAATAACAACTTTAAGATTAAATAAAAACTTTTTCGGAATTTTTATTCCTTTATTTAGTACTCCTTACTGACACCAGATTGCGCCACACGTCGCCGACGGAATTTCGAGTATTCCGTTTCTCATCTGCAATCAAAATATCAAAACTTGTCGAGCTCTTACTACACACCCATTCTAGTATTTATCAAATTAGCCGATTTGCGTCAAAGTGTTATCTGAAACAGAGGCCTATTTTTCACAGTTTGACTAAAAATATTTTTTTGATGGGTTGAAGAAGTTTGAATATAGCTGGTCAAGGTGTATAGAGTTAAAAGGAGATTACGTCAAAAAGAACCGTTTTAAAAAATTTTTTTTTTCTTCTTAAAGTAACGGACTTATCAAACCGTCCTCGTGCATTGTGTTTGATGAAAACAGTACCTATTTAATTTAACTTAAAATCTATAAAAAACCTCTATTATAACATGACGTCATTTTTGTATTCAGAACTTCCTCCGCGACCTGCTCAAGGAAGCTAAGAAGATCAACGACGTGTCCGAAGACAAACTCATCGAGTACACCGATACGATGGTAAACACGATCACAATATAAATCATTATATATTATAATATGTTTACAATATGTACAGTTAGTACCAGGCCACAGTTATTTGTAAAACAATAACAATCTCATAGAACTATATTACTAACATCATAAACAACAACTTTTGTTCCATGACTTTTTACAAAATGTAATAAATTTACCAAAATGAACTTTTAAGTTTTTGTTGTAGTATCTGACACTGTATTTGGTAGTAAAGTTCGTTCAAAGTAGTGTCCTCACCGACGACACCCACCCCCGCTCCTGCTTTTTGCATCGGGTATAACGCTTTCTTTTGTTACCGCACAGAATTATCATCGTTTAGAACGATCCATTTAAATATTTTTATTTTTGTACGAAAGCAATGAATTATTAAAAGCCATGGAATAAAAGTTGTTGTTTATGATGTTAATAATATAGTGCTTCGAGGTTGTTACTATAGTAAGTATAGTTAGGAAGTGTCATGATCCCTTCGTTATCAACGTCATGTCCGTTCAAATAATTGTGTAAACGCGTTTGCGCAGTGCATTCAATTCGTATTCGTTCCGAATCCGAGACTATGCCAATTTAGAAAACTCAGGCCCACTTCGGATGTTCACCTGGATATAAAATGATCCTTGACACATTTCGGACCATTATTTCTTGAATTCGGAACTGATACGTCAAACTATAAAGACTGAAACAAGTGAAAATATGAAAGAGCAATATCGGGCGAATAAGAGGTAACATGTCCCAACCTAACTGCAATAGTTCTTGACGACTTTGTAAAGAGGTGTGTGGTTTGGCGTCACTCCGCTGGCTCAGCAACCCGAAAAGGATCTTGGCTTGCGGTACCAGTTGGCGCCAGCGCACTCTGTCTTATGTAACCCCCTCGCAGTTCTCTGCGTGCAGGGAGGTCTTTCTCCGCTTCGCGCCTCCATCGGTATTTGACCGACCAACTGGTCGACCACTAACTAGGACGTCCATATACGCTTTATGAGGTGGTATCCTTTCGAAATGTCCGAACCAACGGAGTATTGCGGATATCGGAGAAATAATATAATTTTGGGCTCTGACACAATGTCTTCCGGCTCCTGATTCTTTCGGATCCTCCAGCTACCATCTTCTCTCTGTGTTGGTTGGGAGCTTGTCTCTTTAATCTTTTGAATGTTTGATTAGTCTGTTTTGCCATTAAGTTAGCAAGTAGGTCCCAAAAATAAGTTTTTCTTCTTATTGATGATATACTATTGTGGCCTAAAACTCGGCCACGGCGACCACATCACTAGTAGCCTCCCGGCTATTGCTGAACTGTGGGATATGCTTGCTATCGTGGTGAAAGGATTTGTCCATCGACGTAAGGTACTTGCCGATTGTTGCCCGGGTAAATAGACGTTGTGGGGGAAGGCTCCTTTCGTATTATCATGATGAAATACGACGTCTATACGATTCACCAGGCCTTCGTTAATTCTCGAATTTTCAATTTACTTATTGATAAAAGGATGCTATTCCATTGACATAGCTTTCATAATAGGTTGAAATAGATCATGTAGTATTATCCAAATTGGATACCATAGATAAATAAAATATTTTCTCTGTGTTAGGTTCTTAAATGCTGGGAACGAAAAAGGCGTTTTAGCACGTGCGTAATTGAACACAAAATGCGTGTTCATAAGATAGAATGCATTAGTAAAAGGTTTTCAATACCCGGTAACCCTACAACATTGTAAATTGGATCATGTAGAAACGCTGTTTGCATTCAATTTCGCGAGCACTGAAACGCCTACATGTAATTTATGCGCATTATTTCTGAAAATACGTAAATGTTTCTTTATGTGTGTACTGATTTTTAATATTTTTACAGCTACAAGTGTTTGATTCAAATAAAGACGGCAGATTACAGCTCTCAGAGATGGCCAAGTAAGTAAACACTACAAATCAATACTAATAATACCTATATGTATTTAACTTTCTCTTCTTTGAGTTTTTGAGCCGATTGGACGTGAGTATGACTCACAATGGTTTAGAATTGTAATATATGTGTGAATTGTTGTCGTTCATATAAATTATGATCAAAGGGGATTTGGTGTGCTTGTGAACTCTGGTGCTTTTCCACGTAAGACATCGATGTGGTAAAGAGTCTATTATTAAATTCCGTCCTCAAAGGGAAATCTAAAGTTACAAGAAAAGGAGAAGGCAGATCCTAACGAGATCTTTTGATACAGTCGCTGCTTTCAAGGTAACGGACCCAGATCTTGTTCCTATTTTTGTAACTAAAGATCTACAGAAGCTATCCATTCTAATGTTTGACCACATAGATGTAACAAAATTGTTAAAAGATATCAAATAAAATACAAAATATAAAACGACACACTTGCCCCATCCCATCTCCAGCACACCATCAAAAGGGCCGGCTCAGCCACTGAGCTGGCGCAAAGAATAAAAAGTAATAAGTACCAGGACCTCGACTGCGACTACCAATTTACAGCCTTTGGAGTCGAAACCTTTGGCCCGTGAATTCCCTTGCACGGGTGCCCTTCATCTGTACCAAATTTTTTCCAAGAATTAATAGACTATCTGGGAAAACGCGTGGTTTTCCCAGATAGTCTACTAGCTACCTTGGGCACCTTACCTTGGGGACCTAATTTTATACATGTAATTGAATTCTAGTTTTACTTTCCGGTATTTAAGCTTTTATTGTGCATTACCTGTATATTTAATAAAAAATAAAATAATAATATTTAAATACGGAAAATCACAAACAAAGATTTAATTACATGACCATGACTACGATAACCTCTTAAAACAATATTACTTTAACCTTACATTGACTTTTCGTACCATACCGCGCTTAAAGTAAGCTTATTTGTAATGTTAAAACTATGATGTTTTATTGGCAGCTTTGTGACTATTCAGTCACTCAGTTCGTACTATGACGCGACTTTGACATTAGAGTAATATTGCTCTTAGGTCAAATTTAGCAAACTTAAAATAGTTAAACGTATGCAATGGAAACAATATTATTTTCAGTTTTATTGTCTTAATATTGATTTGTTATGATTAAAAGTTAAGTTGAAATTATTTATTTACATAAATCTCTTCAGTATTTTGTTTATTTTTTATTTAATAGCACATAGGAAATATTTTTTCTCGTAAAATAAAAATACGCGATGCTTATTTCGTAAAATTATGACAGCGCCATCTATATGCTCCTTGGTGAAACTAACAGCTGTCACTAGACTTTGGTTCCGAATTCACAACGTGACTATCAATACTCAGCTTGTTTTATTTATTTTTCTTCATGAAAATGCGGAATAATAGTTGAAAATAACGTTTATTTTAATAGATTTCATTATTACATACTTTTCTTTTTTTAGCAGTCAAAATTCTCTAAATGTAAATAATATTAAGTACTTTAACATTATACTACGATAACACGATTCGGAACATCAAAAAAGAAAGAGATGGCATTATACAGTTCTTTCCTACTTTTACTAAGGAATAGACAATATTTGCAAATCACTCGTTCTTTCAGTCACTTTAGCAATAATACATTACTTGGTTGACAGGTTTGTCATGGTTCGTATATGAGTAATATTACAATAAGCTTACTTTATGCTTACATTGAAATAAGATTGTTTTTCGAAAGGTAATGGTAGGCCCCCTGAGAAAGATCTCCTAATCTCCAACAGGCATCTAGTATTAATAAACTGTATATCTACCGAGGTTTGTTTTTAACTTATTTTACCGTATCCTGTTATGTGGTATTCGGTTATGTAGCTGACTTTATGTTCACGAATTCTACTAAGTACCTTTTAACATTTTTGTCGTAACAGGAAAAACAGAAAAAGCAAACAAATATAAAAGTATAAATGACGTTTCAAAATGTCCGTACATACTCCACCAACATATGTGGAACAGCTGGTTTTATCTCCACGATTTCGGAGTCTCCACAATAAAAGTAATTTTGTTGAATACCTCTTTAAAATTTATAAAAAAAACATGAGAAACACCCATGAGAATTATCATATAGACACTATTTCAAAGTGTTTTTTATTTTTTACACTATCAAGTGACGGGACGAACAAGTGGTGGTGCGCCTGGTGGCAAGCGACATGCCTACCCATGACAGTAGCATGCTACTCAGAGCTTTAAATCGCAAACATTTTAGGGGTACTGCCACTGTGCCCATCACGCTAAACATAAGTTGCTAAGCCCCATGTGCCAATAATTTCACCAGCACCCTTACCCTTCAAAATCGAAACGCAGTAATGCTCATTTTAGTGCAAGTAGGTAAAGAGGCAGTACTTGACTCACAAGGAGCTCTGCTGCTACTTCTTCTTGTCGTATCGATGACATTCATTGTACTATGGTGGCCCAGAACTCAGTCACGCTTAACGCGTCACTAGCAGCCTCCATTAAATCATTAAGCGTGCAGGTGTTAGGGCACACAGGGCACGATATAAGGTGGGCCATCGTTTGAGTCGCACAGCACAAGCAGTCCAGGTTAGAACCATCCGAAAATCCACACATGCGACTGATTTTAATTCAAATTGGAATCGATCCGATCGGGTGTCTTGAAATCAGATGGGTTTCTGAGCGAGAAGATGAACCTGATTCCTACTATATCTTTCTAATTTGTGAGTTAAATCGACTATTGTTCCGATTTGAAATGTCAAAAGTTTCCGATCGGGAGAGGCTATCAAAATCAAGCTACAGATCGGCCATGGCAATTCGTGTCCAGGAGGAAGACTCTCAGAAGCCGGGATAAACGTAGATGGTACTCTTTCGCGCCAAAGATTGCACCTATCCTGAACCAGCTCAATGCTCAAAGTCTCAATTTCTCAGAATCTCTTAATTTCTGCTGCTACTAAAAATATATGGAATTTTTCGACATTTCGAGGTCCCTATAATAAAAGCGATTTTGGTGACACCCTTTACGTAAAGCTATACGGTCCCCAAAGTTTAATATCTGAATGGGTCGAGCTTTGTTCGTTCTAAGAAATCATGAAATATCGAATGACTTTCATTTCGACCCCGTCCCATTCTGACAATATCCATCATCTGATGAGATTATTAGAATTTTGTGCATGGGGAGACAAAATCTCAATACGTCCTGCTTCTGGGCATGTCCTTTCCTATAAAATTCAAGCTATGGACCGTTGGCGAAATACGGTATGGAGATTTCACACTTTTTCCAAGGGAAAGAAAGAATTAGAAAGAGAAGAAATATAAGTTGAATATAAACGACTACAACTATGACTAAAATTCCGTACCTTTCAAAATCAATCATAATTATAATATTTTTTTTAAATACTGACAACCTTGCGGGATTAGATTTGTGACGTCATGACCAAAAACTTTCGTTCCGTTAGTTTTGACAAAACATGATACATATAAAAAAATAAACATTCAAGTTTTGTTGTACTATTTGACACTTTTGATTACAGTATTTAGTAGTAAGGTAGTAAGTTCAAACGTGCAAACGTTCTCTCTGACGACTCCATCGTTTTACACAGAGTTATCATCGTTTAGAAAGATCCATTTAAATATATTTATTTTTGAATGAAAGTAAAATCTGACGAACTATTAAAAGTCACGGAATAAAAGTTGTTGTTTATGATGTTTATAATATATTCCTACGCGCTTGTTAGTATTTTACAAACAACCTGTATACATTTTAATGAATATGCATTATATACAATATTTTTAAAAATTACGTACGTTATAAATACGTTATATAGAACACCAGCAGGCTTAGCAGGAGCCCGAAGACAAAAGTTATCTTTTCTTCGAACTGTCAATTTTCTCTCGAAAATCGCGAGAAAATTGACAGTTGGAAGAGGAGATAACTTTTGTCTTCGGGCTCATGCTAAGCCTACTGGAATATATATTTATCACTGATTGTAAGCTATTTACTTTTCTCTGAAATAGAAATAAACCTTTTTTTGGTGTCGTGATTACATATTTTTGAACACAACACGACGTCGGGGTGTAAATATTTTCAACAGTCGTTAAAACCTAAAACATGCTCCCTTGAAAAAAATTTCAAAATGGCCCTTTCTCCCTTTCTACAAAACACCGACGTTATATTCGAAAATGTGTGAACGTTTACATTTCATTGCACATGACTGGACGTATCTTAGAAACAAGAGTCATAGGTACATACGCTGTGGGGATTCGAATCTCTCCATTAAGAAGCGATCATTTTTCCGTTTTGTTTGGCTGCAAAATTGCCAAAACTGTAAGCGAATAAAACTCAAGCAACTTTTAAATTGGAAGAACATTCAAGGTAAAAAATACTTCAGCTTCTATTATTGAATTCATATAATGACCATAATAACAGGAAATGTCCGAAAATATTAAGGAAACAGGCTTTGTAGCTTTTTCTTTTATTAATAATGCCCTTAATTCCAATATTGGTAGAACAAAATAGACAAGAATGAAATAATTAAAATCTAATTTGTTATAATGATCGGTAATATCTTTTTTACTTTTCTGTCCGCCGTAGACCTAAATGAAACTAGATGCGACTGACCCATAAGAAATGTTGAAAGAAAATGATTTTTATTATATTATCGTGAAGAGTCATATTTAAGTCTCTTTGAAGTGTGATGTGCTCTTCGACATCAAAAGGTGCTTTCAAACAAAAGGCTTCATGGCGCTCTAATTAATTACATTCCTTCCATCGACCGACTCGATTGTGATATACACGAAGTTCATTATAACAGCAAATTACCTCGTGTTGGAAGCAATGAAATGCTCATTTGGTATCAAATAGTTACAATTTTGCAATTGTTATTAGTTGGTTGCCATTCAGCTGGTGGCACTTTAAAGAGGTACTTAATTAATTATAATTTAAAAAAACTAAATATTGTCGAGCATCTTTAATTTTTATTTATTTATTATAACTTAACTGT